TTTGAATTTGAGGTCGGTGGGCGGATCGAGCACCAGGATCTGCTCGTGCTTCGCCAGAGCCCCGGCGGCCGCCATCTCGCTCGCTCGCTACGGCGGGAGGAGGAGAGGGGGAGGGTGGGAGAAGGAGGGGGAGGAGGAGAAGGAGGGGGAGGAGGAGAAGAAGGAGGAGGAGGGAAAAAAGGAGGGGCGGGACAGGGAGTCCGGGCAGCGGTGGCGCTTGTCGCTATGCCTCACGGCGGGTGCGAGCCGCTGTGCAGCCCCGGCACCGCTCGCTTCCCACCTCGCGCCAGCGGCTCAGCGGCCCCCGGCAACGCCGCCCCTCCGCGGGCACGAGGGCGGGGGCGACAGCGGCGGAGGCGGCAGTCGCCGGGTCTGCTGTGCGCATGCGCGCGCTCGCTCGCTCGCTCGCTCCCCCCTTACTGCCGGTTGACAGCCCTCACGGCCGCCCCGCGCCAGAGCCGAGCGGGAAGAAGTGGTTCCTCCGCACTCCGGGGAGAGGCTGTGGGAGCGGTGCGCGTGCGCCGCGGGAGGAACTACAGCTCCCAGCATGCCGCGCGGCGGGCGGGCGGCAAGGTGGCAGGCGGGAGGCCGAGGTGCATGCTGGGGGTTGTAGTCTTTCTCGGTGCCTGGGGGGCACCGAGTAGGGAGTGGGGCAACTCGCAAGGCTCCCCGCTATCCCGAATCCAGAGGTAGGCTGGGGTAGTGAGGCTTCGTGGCCTTCCTGCAGTCTCAGCCTAGTTTCAGCTAAAGCTGTCGGAGAGACAGTGAGCATTGGGTGATAGGCCTGGGTGGTGCCATTTGGAGAGACGGAAGGGCACATTGGGCAAAGAGTGTGGAAATGCCCAGGATTGGTTACAGCTCCAGCTTGAGTCCAAGATCCCCACAGGTGAGCTTTGAGATGTCAAGGACTAACTCCTCATTCCCGACAAGAACTCGTGCCTGCCCTGGGATGGCTGCCATCCTGCACTAAGGCAGCCTCAGCACTGTGAGAGGCTGCCCTGCGGTGAAGAATTTCACCTTTAGAGTGGGAAAATCATAGCCTAGAACATCATCAAAAGCCACCCTGAAATGGGAAACTTTTATTTGGTTGAAGGCTTAGTGACTCTATAGCAAGAGACACTGAGGCAAATCCAAGGTCTCTAATAGTAGAACAGAGTGAGAGATGTTCACCATCCTCTCTCCCACTTTCTGTCAGTGTTTTTATCATAGACGGTGCATTCTCAGATATTTTGACAGAGGAAAAACAGATAGCCAAATCCATCTGAAACTTATTGATTCTGATCCCCACCACTAACTTTTTAAAAATCTGGCCCTAGGATTTATAGTTAAGTTCGTGTTCATGCAAGATTGGAGTACAGGTGATGGAGCTTCTTCTCTGGCAATGTGGTGTAGGTATGCTAAGAATGTGTATGGAAACATAAAAACCCACTTGGAAAATAAGTCCCAATAATGAATCAATTGAAATAACTGAGAATCATTGAATCACTGAGGCTGGAAAAGACCACTGAGACCATCTAGTCCAACTGTGAGCCCATCCCCACCATGCCCGCTGACCGTGTCCCTCAGTGCCACATCCACACGGTTCTTGAACACCTCCAGGGATGGTGACTCCACCACCTCCCTGGGCAGCCTGTGCCACTGCCTCACCTCTGTTTCTGAGATGTTTTCCTAATATCCAACCCAAGCCTCCCCAGTACATCTTAAGGCCATTAAAACTGGAATGTTTTACCTTCAAATTCATCTAGCTACAATAAGAATTATGGATTGCATCATTTCCTTGGTGAAGGAAAGGGCTTTGAGTCCATTACATATGGGAGACCCTCTGAGAAATTTGGGTCCCGTATCTGCCTGGGCCTCAGCAGGGCCTTCACCCTCTATTTCAGCTGTCTGCCTCTGCACCAAGCCTGCACACGTCGTTCTTTCAGCACTTTTCTCAATACCTCTCGCCAAGAGCAAATATCAATATGAGCTTGAATATCATCACTGACTGAAGAAGAGATGTGAGAAGTGCTGCAGAGAAGCACTTTGGATATATGTAGTTGGCTTCAGTAGGTGGTGTTCAGTGGCATATCTGTGAAAACATTGCTAGAGGTCTTTAGCTATTCTGGCTGTAGTTTTCCTGCTACGTACTTATTTTATGATACCTGTAAAACAACATTGGAAATTGCTGCCTTTTGTTTATTTACAGTGCATTGTTTATTCTTACCTTTGGACTCTAGAAGGAAAATAGAGTGTTTTTTAATACCAGGATATTTTTTCTTCTTCTGTTATTGTGAGCACTTACTCTATAACCTCTATGCTTTCTGCATTTCTGTTCATAAACCCACTAAAGATTAAGCCACAGTGTATATTTCTCTGAAGCAATAATTCAGCTCCAGAATTACATGGTAATTATATACCTGAATAATTTCTGGGTCTCATTTTTCAAAGAATTGAGACATGAGGAGCTGCTGCAAAATTCTAAATGCTTCCAAACATTCTCTCCTTTCTCTTTTTAATGGGCTGTAAAATAATGGAAAGAAGTGCAAATTCAAGAGAAGCTTCCTCTGTGTGAATTTAGAGGACGAAAATACTTTTGTTTTTCTTTTACACATCTTTTATGTAAGAAGCATCTCTCATATAAGAAAATCCGAGGAGAACTGGAAGTTAAGATCTATTGAATGTGAGAACAAGTCTTCCAGGTTTTACCATACATGGTTTTCAGTGCAGACACCTTGTTTTACATGGTTGCACAATAGATGTAAGTGAACACCTGTGGATGCGTACAGGCTGGAGGAAGACTGAGTTCATCCTTGTCACCTGCATATTGAGAGGCAGTAAATGAATGGTAGGCTATGGCCTCAAGCACAGTGTTGCCCATGTGAAGAGCATCACAGCATCACTGAGGCTGGACCCAAGAGGGCTGTAGTTCAGTTTCTGGCTTAAAGCAGGGTCAAAACTGAATTCAGGCCAGGTAGCTGAGGGTTTTATCACTGAGATTATTAAAACCTCCCAGGACAGAGGTTTCACAGCCTCCTGGGTAGCCTGGCTCAGCTCATGAATCTGGCTGGTCTGTGTTTTATGACAACTGCCAAATTAGTACATAAACACTAAAGGAATACATTAATGATAATAATGCATGAACATGTTTGGTTTTTTTTAATGTAGTTGTTGTTGTTTGAACGTATTTTCAACCTTAGTAAGGCATCCATCTGTTTTGTTGCATTTAATATAATTTCTCATCTAAAGCTTTTATTTCACCAAAGTTAATGCTATTTTTTATATTAAACAAACCGTGTGCTGTTAATGAGCAATATCTGGCAACCTTCTCCAACATCTGACTCATTTCACTTGAACACCTCATTGCACAGTTCAGGACTGAAATCTTGGCTCTGTTGCAGTCAATAGCAAACCTCTCACCAATTTCAGTGAGATGTCATTCCAGAAGCATCTCTAGTATCTTTATCACTGCTAGCAGGCAGCTAACATTTGCCTAATGTGAGGTTAACATTTGTCCTGTGTGTTCGTAGATCTTAATGTTTATTCACATGGTGAATTCAGCATCATTATTATTATAATATCTCAATTTGGAGATTGCTTGACATTTTTCAGAGCTGCTTGCTATTAAATATTAAATGAGCTTGCTTTATACCTGAGAAGTATCGATGTAGGCTTGGTTTCATAATACTTTTTTCCACTGTTTATTCAGGTAGTTTATTCAGTCCTGCCAACTCTGAGCTTGAAAATGTCTTGCGATAAAACAATATCTTGACTTGCTTTGCAATTCCTTGGTGTTATTAAGATTGTCAGAAAGAGCAACCACGTGCCACATTACTTGTCATATTAATGGAAAAACTCTCAGTCTCACTCACTGAAGTAACATATGTATCCTGTACTGCCAAGTCACTGAATATTGCAAAGCAAAGCTATGTGGGTGAAAGTCTGTTTTAATTTCTCTTTAAAGAAATACCTCGCCTCTTGGTGCTGCAATTTGTCTTCTGAAACACAAAACCATTCATAGCATACACATAGATTACAGCAGGCTGTGGTCGTAATTTACTTGGCAGCTAATGAGTTCCATATATAATTTGAGGCCTACTTGTCATAGTGTAAATCAAAGGTAAAATTACAATCCATACCTTTCTGAAGATTTATGGCACTATTCAAATGTTACCACAGCTAGAAAAGTAGATCCTAGCTGAGTATCATCAAGTTTGTTCAACTACAGTGTATTTTTCTACCTAATGAGGTAATTGTAAAAACACATGATGTATATTGAATATGCAAGCAGAGAAAAGCTAATAACACTTAACAGCATTCTGATATGTTGCTGCGGTGAACATTTTTATATAAATGCCATAACACGAAAATGCTTAGATCATTTACTCGTGTAGGAACAAGATGAAAATGGTATTTTGCCTTTGTGGTTGAAAGTATCATCTAAAGAACTGGACGAGTCCTGAGCCAATTTTAAATGTGCTAAGGACCATTAGTCCTTTGGTAAAGGACAAAGTTGTTGAGGTAATAGATTTTTCAGTATTGTTTTCAAGAATTGGTTTTTAAAGTCCACATACGTTCACGATGTAATGAGACAGTGAATATGCAAAATATAGAATATGTGTTGGTGGTTGTTTGGTGATGTTGCAGTTCTAAAAATGCACAAACTCTATGCTGAAAAGTAGCCAAAAATAAAATATGCGTAGATAAGCATATAAGTCTAAGTACATAGCTGGAACTCTCTTTTTACCAAAAGTAAATCTGTATTAAATTATAGCTTCAGTCTGAGTAGAAATCCTGCAGAAACAGCATGACAGTGTCCTATAATCATTGCATTTCTTTTCCACTTTGGTACTCTTGCAAACAAAATCATGGTGTTTCTCAGTCTGTTTTGAGAACTCATCTGGCAGCATGGATTCAAATTTCACCTTTCATTTTCTCTGTTAATACACACGGTAGCTCAGAGATGCTAATTCTGCATCTCGTGGGAGAGCCCAAGAAGCCCTGAAGTTACATCTTCAAATTGTGCCTAGGTTCTGTTCTAACAGGTCACAAGGTAAATATGAGCAAATAATGTATTGATGTGCAAAAGACAAGCATTGTACTGAGACTGTGCACAACACACATTTTCCCTCTGCTGAAC